AAAAGTGTTAGTAGGTGGGACAGCTGAGATGCGGTGAATGCTATCCCCGCGCTCTTTTAGATAACTCAGGGATTCACATGTTGCGATACTCTATCAAAGTACCACCTAACCAGACCCGTGATTAATAAGCTCTCTCCATGTTTTCAGGACAGTGGACTCGACTGGAACCACGTATGTTAGTAAGACCCCGAGCACTAGTCTAGACTAGTTCGGAGATGATTAGATCCTGGCCAGTCAGAGTTCACACCGCGCTTATCGGGACGAGTGGGACAAGACTGTCAGATGGCTGACAGAACAAAAGCTTGTGATCTTGCATTACAGAGAACCTGAAGCTCTGTGCGGAACCGCTAACATTCAGTATGCATAGCCGATCTATAATCCTGGCTGTCATGAGCATGATAAGCTCCAGGAGCAGTAATTTAGATTGCTGTAGTTGGGAGAACTGTGCAGGGATCTTCGAGGCGAGGCGAACAATTCGCGTCCCATCATCTTTCTCCGCGAAGTCCCCAATATTTAATCACAACTGCATAACTTGGCTTTTGCGCCGTTATACTGAGAACTCCGTTTGAGATGATAAGCGATAATATGAGATGAAAGTAGAAGTATACGGTATATCTCTGCTCTGGCTAACGGGAACGAAGCATCCATGAATGCATTGTTATTGGCCAGTTGTTCATGAATCTATCACTCCCACCCTCTGCAGTAATAGCACCTATGCGAGACCAACGTAGCTTAGAAGACCCTGCAACTTTGACTGCCCGTTCACTGTAGACTTGAAGTCGGGGTGGTGATCGTAGGCCAGGAAGCCTGTACCATCATAGCAACCAACGTATTCGGCCTCGATATCCTGAGACTTAACCACTCCACAGTCCACCCAGACCAGCATGTTGCCGTGTGCCATACAACCAGCCGGCTCGTATGCTTCCATGAACTCGCGTCTCAAAGCAACGTGAGACTTTTCCCTCCGGCCGGCACGCTCCATGTATCTAAACTCCAGGAAGAAGAAAATCTGCACACAGCGATTGAAGTCGAGGGCGGGGAAGAAGTCCGGGTCATCTGTGCCGTATGACGGCTCAATTTTTGTTTTTCCGCTCTCCGGGACATGACATAGACGCGCTGACAACATGCCGGCGTCTGGGCCGGACCGGACAACGTTTGTGATGAACCGCTTCGTATTCCGGTGGAACTTTTCCGACCAGAGCTTGCTCTCAGCCCCCGTCATAGTAGTGCGGTCCTGCCCCTCGACGACAAAGCAGATGTTGTCTGGGAATTTGGTTATCTTGACACGGCCGCGGCGTAGATCACCCGTCGGGGCTTTCGGTTCGGGCACACCGTCTATAGACGAAGCAAGGATGTTGCGGTTTGTTGACTCCTGCAGACGGTCGCGCAGGGCGCCCCAGTATCCAGTCTTCTCAGTCAGGGGCACCATAGGGCCGAGATGGCCTACGCCTGAAGGGATGTCCTGAGACATCTCCGTGACGAATCTCTTGTTTGAGAAGCGCAGGCTCTCCCTCCAGAAACCAGCATCTTCAGGGAGGGCAGCCCAGAACTGCTTTGTTTCCGGGCAATTCCACCAGGTCTGGAAGGCTTCGGGGGATTTCCAATAGCTGATCCAGACACGAGAGAGTCCTAAATCACGCTCGGTGTCGTCGTTGATTAGATCTTCAACAAACACTGCCGCTGCTTTGAGGGCTGTGTCGAACTCGGCAATCAGCGCGGCCTTAGATTCGGACGGAGTATTACCATGATACTGGGCGCCGAATGTTGTAATGTTGAAAAAGTCAGGTAGTTGGGGAGTGAGTAAAGGCATGATGGGTCTATTGGTATAGAGAATCTGTTCCGGGGATTTGTTTTTGGGAACAAAGCATGGTAACAGAATTGCAGTGCCAAACCCATAATATGTATTTCTTTACCTCGAGGCAGTGAAGAGAAGGGCCGAAAGTTCATCATTGGTTGCCTCCAAGGCAACCCGATAGTTCCTGGACGTTGAGGTATGCCGAGTACTTTCTTCCAGCAGTATAGCTCTGCCCTACGAAAAGAGGTGCAATAATAGCTATTATGTGATTGGTCAGCCATAAGGTCCATTGATTCGTGGGGTGTGCGCGCTTATCAGCACCGTTAGTGAAACACGATACGCCCTTATCATTCCTGACTCGCACATCTTTTGTGATTGGCTATCGGACATCCGGGTTCCCTCGGAGTGGTACTCAGATGCTTCAGCTCTGGAAGCTATTTTTTAGCAGTAATGTACACAGAGTACAACAAGGGTCATCGAGCAAGGATCCTCCTAGAAAAGATCAATGTTGATCTACTCGTAGCATCTTGACCTCAACGTCAAGGGTCGCTACTTCTTGCAAGGATGCCGAGGGTTCCCAAAAAGAAGGGCAATGCTACATTAGATCAGGTATCCAGGAGTTTCATGGATGACATCGCGCGCTTATCAGATGATCGACCATGTCTCTGACGGATATGCAGCGCTAGGATGATCCATTTGTTGTCATTGGACTTTGATATCGTAGCAAGATTGCCTCGGGAGCTGAAACCATAGATGTTGAACGACTAGCTTGCTGTGTCACAGAATTGAGTCAAGTACATGTCAAGAAACATGAAAGGAGGATGTTGGGCATCAAAAGCATTTAAAGGCTTGGCAAGCCCATTGTCCTCACTCCTAAGGATTGCCACTTGGCAAGTACCATTGCTTCTAAGGCTTCAAGGGTCTCAACCCCTTGAAATGGAAGACTCTAAGGCTGCGAATACATCGGATCTCATTGTTAACGCGGAAGAGTCAAGAACTGATGCAGGGAATTTGTCTGATGAACTGTTGCTGCGTGCTCAGGGTCATCATGGCGAACTGCCTCGCCAATTCTCCAGCTTTGCTGCCTTGTCGTTGGCGTTCGTCATTACAAATTCCTGGCTTGGATATTGCGCGTCTTTTGCGGTTCCCCTTTTGGCCGGAGGAGGGCCTACAGTCTTTTGGGGCGTGATCGTTGCCGCGATGGCATGCTTGATTATCAGTGAGTTAACTCTTGATATTTGTCTTTCTTGCTTTCATCTCCTTTATCATGTATCATGGCCGAATACTTACAAGTCTTATCATAGCCGCTGGTCTAGCTGAATTGGCTTCAGCCTACCCTTCCAGTGGCGGGCAGTATCATTTTGCATTCATGGTATCATCCGTGAAAACTCGAGCATTTGCCGCATTCATCACGGGTTGGCTCAGCACGTTGGCATGGTGCCTGACCACCACATCTGCGGCTATTTACTGCGGTATGGCTTCATATACTAGCAGCTGGAGTAATGCTAACCCTGACCTATTCCTCAGCCGAAATCGTCTTGGCCTTGGCATCATTGTTCCACCCTAACTACGTAGAGACGCAATGGCAGACCTACCTGATCTACCTGCTACTTCTTGTCCTCGCTGGCTTGGTCGTGTGCTTTGCGCCCAAGCTCTTGCCCACTCTAGAGATGTTCTTCTTCTGGTGCAGTCTGGCAGCATTTGTTGTATCTTTCATCACAATGCTAGCCGCTAGCGGTCTAAAACAGTTAGGTGAGGTTGTCTTTGTTAAGTATAACAACCAAATAGGCTGGAGTGATGGTATGGCCTTTGTCATCGCTGTTGGCATATGTATGTACGCCTTTCTGGTAACTGATTCCGTTACCCATATTTCTGAAGTAAGTGAACTTTTCGTGGAGTCTATATCTATAAGTTGATACAGCAATGACTGGCTTGAATGTGGATAGGAAGTGCCACGGCCAGGCTACCACATCCCCCGAGTCATGTGCTGGACTATTCTCATCGGCCTCGGGACCACAGTACCCTTCTTCTTGGCCCTACTCTTCACTTCTTAAGATCTCGATGCTATTGCTACTTCCGGCCTTCCCATTCTCGAGGCCTTTTATCAAGCCACCGGCTAC